AAATTCGCTTGAAGATGAAATGGAACTAATGCTTTTAATTTAATTGCAAAATTAAATTCGAGGTTTTTAGCTTCTATTTTTTGAAACATGGTTGGAACTGTGTAGCGAAAAAACCATATTTTAAATCAATTAATTTATAATATTAATGCTCTGTAAATTTACATTGAGCACTATTTTGTAAAATAAAAATATCTATAAGAACACCGGATTTTATATCTTACTGTTCTTTCTTTCTTATATATATATATATATATATATATATATATATATATATATATATATATATATATATATTTCTTGTGTACGAACAAGAGCTTTCTTTTCTGGACAAAAGGTGTGTAAGAACTGTCCAAATGTTTTATATTTCCGAGCGCTTTCGGCTATAACTTTAGCCATTATCAAGGATGATTCGATTTTTCAGCTTAATTGAGTGTGTGCATTAGTGTGTAGTAGGGGTGTTTTAATTTCCGAATACGGTTAGTACATTGTGGCCTTATTCGTAGTTAATATTGTTAAGAGTTGTTTTTTCTTTTTATTATTAAAAGAAAAAAACAAAAACAACTATATATATATATATATATATATATATATATATATATATATATATATATATATATATGAGAGAGAGAGAGTGAAAGATGAGAATGTGAATTTCTGTTATTTTCATCTGGTTATCGTTTTTAATGAGGTTTTGAGGAAAAAAAATATTTTTTGTTTTTTATTTGCCTTAAGTTTTTCTATATACACACATACACACACCACGCACACATATATAAGTGTGTGTATGTGTATGCGTGTGTGTGCGTGCGCTCGCGCCTGTGTGTGTGTGTGTAACAGAATATTCATTTCTTTCTATCAGGCCCTTTTTAATGAGGATTTTTTAAATATAATTTTAGATCTTTTATTTTGTTCTATTTTATGAATACGGATTATTTGCAGACCAACAGATAAAATATTTTGACATTTGATGTGTAGCTGCATTCAATATTTGATTATAACACACCGAGTAAAAGAAAAAAAATAAGCCCCGTTCCAAATGCGTTATATCAATGTGGACTCATGTTACACTATCCACGCTTAAATGCTTTTAATAACATTAAAGTTGGAGTGCTATTTTTATTTTCATAAAATTCACAACGAAGAGAATGCTGTGCTTTATTGAGATATCTGTTCGTCAGACTCGAATTCACTGACCTCATACGCTGCCATTTAGGAGGAGAGTTATATTTTAATTTTCTTTCATTATTTATTTCAAAAATATTTCACATGAATTTTTTTTTTATATTTACTTATATAACACCCACTTTTCACCCCTGAGACAAAATGGCTCAAAAATATTTCCCAGGTCTTTTCCATAGACCACAAACATTTGCACAAAGACTAAATCCATAAAACTATAATAACCAATGTAAATGGCTGGCATCTCTTATAGTGATTTTCCAAGCGTAGCTTAGATGTGGAACAAGGCCGAAAGTATGGGGGCACCCAGTGAGGATCGAAATCAATACTCATCGTAATTGTTCTTGCGAGATAAGCTTGCTAACCATTACACCACCTCGAGGTACTCACTGGCATCTCTTATCAAATAAACGAATTAATTTCTATCAAATAATTTTAAATAATTATCTTTGATTTGTCAAGTATTAACAAATAAACAAAACTTTATTTTTCGTAGTTGTTGTACAATTACAGCTTTTGCTGTATTTCGTTTCAGATCGTTTTCTACTCTAATCTAACCATATCAGACTCTTATTCTCTTTGATGGCAGGGAGCAGCTATTATATTGAAATTTAAAAACTTTCAAATCCAAACATTTATTGTAAGGCTTGTCTGCAAATTTTAGCAAAAATGTATAACCTAATTAATCTTATTTTTTTTCCTACAGTTCGTCGCCTTCTGTGTTGGCCATTATGGCATCTGACATGAAGTATTATTTATTAATTTTCCGTTAGCCTTTTCTTCCTTGTAATATTGCTTTTTAAACTGACTTTTCGCGATCCAATGCTGATAAAGTTGCATAGAGCAGAAATAGATTATATCGTGAGTTGAAATTGCATCCCATATTTTATGAGCGCGTCTTTCAGAGACAAAACGTTAAAGGAATTACCTGCAGAAATCTATCCTACGATGTCACTTAAATCTATAAGACCTCATTTCTACTTCCTTGAGAATATGATGGATGTACAAGTGAGTAACGTGATTTTTTTTTAAAGAAAATGCTAATAATACGGACGCTCATATATAGAATCAAAATGACACATTTGAAATATCTAAGAAAGACGGTTTGGTGAATCTGACACTCACAAGGCATACGGAAAACAGGAAAGACGGAAGAAAGTAAGGAATAACTTCAGAACAGGTGTTGGGAGAAATAACGAAAAGACAAATTTCACTAAAAGCAACATAGGATAAGAAGTTGTGAAGCGCCAAAACCGTCCACGTCCCGAAGGGATTAGGTATATAGAAGAAGCGCTTTATGTTTTTTTCTTGTGTAATAATAACGTTAACACTGAGGCCTAAGCACTTGTCCACATCTATCGTTGGACATTTGAGCTAAATTTCCCCATTCAGCAGTGTGTGTGTAAGAAAACATGCCATCAATAAAGATTCTGAAGCGGTTTTGTACAAAGTTCTTGTTCGTCCAAACATCCTTATTTTATTTCCATGTCAGTCTGTGGAATTGGTCTTCGTGATCAAATGCATAGATGATGTTGCAGTCAACCAATAGTACAGATTCAATGAGTTCAATCATTTCATTAATGATTTTATCATTAACGAAATGTTAATTAATATATTCCCTATTTTAAAACTGTTTTTTAAATCTCACCTTTGTCGAATGAATCCCGTTGTTACGATTCAAATGTCGGAATAAAGTTTCTGATGGGATGCAAGTTCAATTGTCATGTTGTTTTTTTTCTTTAACAACCGGGGAAAACTTGAGTTTGAAAATTCGAATAACAAAATCCATTTTGGTTTAACTTTAAGATTCTAATATTTATTATTCTAGTGATTTTTACGAGTATCACAACTTTTGTAAATGATCTGTTTTCAGATCACATAGATCTTATTATATTATGTCGAAGTACCCGTATCGCTTTGGCCCTAGAAGATGCGGCGAGCAGATGCGCCACTAGCTCTAAGCGTCCTATCACGCTGTTCGCTACAAACTAGTCGATGTCATTTGGAAAAGAAACAACATAAAACGTATCACTTGGAGAATGTATGAAATAATGACACTACACTGACCAATAACATTTGAACAAAGAAAAACTAATTCAGGCAATAAATTAGGATTATTGATAATGATGACTCCACCCGGATGAAAAGTAAAATGACAAATTGATATTATTAGCGTAGTTCGACACAAAGTGACAAGTCAGGTACACACAATTAAGGTTGAATTCAGCGCAGCTTGCTAACCATTGTTTTACTGTGATGACACACTATCCACTGTGATGACATACTATTTATTGAAGTCTGAGTAGACCAGCAAAAAGTTACAGATGGTTGGAGCAAACACATAAAAACTGAAATTAAAACAGTTATAAGGACGTGTAAATTAGCATGTTAATCGATAAATGCCTAAAACTGATAACAGAAGCCATTGGTTTATACCAACGGCTTCCCATACTTAATAATTATCGTTTTCACTCTCGCGTGGCCATGTGTGACGTCACGAGGTGCGACGCGATTTTTGCTTCCGCGTTTGATATACACGAATTAGTCGTTGCTTTGAAATTTTTCAGGCAACAAAAGCAGACTATGATTATTGTTTCGTCCGTGTAGTGGTTGATATATTGAAAAGTAATTGTCATCTTTGATAAGAACTTATGTAAGTCGAAAGCTTAGATTGGATTTAAACATGTATCAATATGGTGATTTCCTTTCGTTTTTCAATGATAATGTTATTAAGCTTATCAGACAATGATATAAAAGGAACTTACTTAAAATAAATAGACAAAACTTGTCTATATTATTTAATGAAACATGCATCAATGAAAAATTGCTGCCTAAATATATATATATATTTTGATTCCAAAAAAAAATTCGCTTGAAGATGGAACAGAGCTTAGTACTTCAATTTAATTTAATAATTATACTGAAGTTTTCGGCTTTTGTTTTGAAACATGAGAACTCTTATGTAGCGTTGGAATCATATTTTTAAGTAAATAATTATATTTATGCTCTACTTTTGTATCGAGCACTATTTCTTAAAAATAATAACAAAAATACTAAAGAACTTTCGATTATTTACCTAACAAGTTCTTTTCCTATTTTCTAAATATTTTTACACACACACACACACACACACACACACACACACACATATATATATATATATATATATATATATATATATATATTATATATATATTTATATTTAGGCAGTAGATACACAAAAATGGAGATAGATTTAAAAAGATACAGAGGTCATAAAAAGATAAGAACAAAGACCTTCTTCCTTCGACCTTTCTCTGACTAATCCTAATTATTTTATTATCACTTAAGCAGAAGAATATTTTCGTCACAAGTTCAAGAAAATTTGGATAAATACTACACAGTAAAGAGAATGGTTAAACATGGGAAAACATAAAGAAAAAAATCAATTCCTTTGAAAATATGTGAAAATAACCACGCTTCGCCTGATGAAGGTCGCAAAAAAAATCATATGGAAAATAAGGTATAATATATATTTTTAAAAATCCACAGTATAACCAAAAATGTTTACGACTTCTCTTTTCTCTTTAAAATATACACTTCTCTCTCGTTGGAACAACTATAAAATTTCCCTTATGTATGTATGTATGTATGTATGTATGTTTGCACACAGACGTAAACTAACAGCGCTAAAATGTATACTCATAAGAAATATACAGTTTGTTCATCATCGTTTGGTTCAAACCTGAGTTTCATGCACGTGTCAATCGACAAGCATAGATTGAAATGGTTTCCAGTCCTTGCCTGACGATTACCACGTACAGTAAATTCATTCAGTGTATTTAGATAGATAGATAGATAAGTAGATTTGAACAGAGTGAAACAGATAGATAGATAGATAGATAGATAGATAGATAGATAGATAGATAGATAGATAGATAGATAGATAGAAGAGAATTAGATGTCCATGTATGATCATGGTAATATATATAAAGTAATATCAAACCAAGACATTCTTTGTATCTTTTTTATTCTGCTGATATGTGGGAGCAAAATAAAATCTTTTGGAATTCACAAAATTGCTTGATATTTAAAGCAGCATGTGCGTAGATATGTCCCAGTAATCATCTAATGGTCTAATGAGATTGACTTGCTAATCACTTCTTCATGTCATTGTTTGGTGTGTGAAAAACTATAGCCATTTTATTTATCTATTTTATTTTTGAATATTTATTTCTGGCGTGTTCTAAGCAAAATATTAAGAAACAGAAGAATTCGAATTTCGTTAGAAGCAAAGAAAACCCCTACTGAACTGTTAACTGAAAATTGCCCTTTTTATAGCAGAGAATGCTAGTCAGTCTCCTCACAGATGAAGAAGAAACTTGAAGCAACAGAAATATGGTTCTACAGAAAGATGCTGAGAATCCCATATGTGACGGGTACACACCTGGCCCAGGGTCGAATCCCTTGGTTACGGCGCCAACTGTGACGTCGCTCCTCCTGGTCACTCCTCCTGGTTCCAAGCGTGCCGCTCCAACCCCTTGGTTAGATGATCACCAGCCTCGCCTTTCCCAACTCGCTTCCAATACCTGGTTACTGAAGCAACTGTACTGATCTCCGGTCTGTCTACCCACGTTGTGTTTAGATCTTAGACAGACGGGACCAGCAGGGATGGGGGCCGATACAAGTTGAGTCCGACGGGGGTGGCAAAACACAAGTAAAAGAAAAAACTCACGAGACAAAAAATTACTGATAAAAAAAAGGGTAACAACCCTTTTATATCTAATGTCCGTTACATAAAGAAAAATTGTTCTTATTTCCCGACCCGCTCTGTGGACTATGGCACCAAGCTTCTATCATACAACTTAAAGATTTCGAATTGCCTACTCTTCAGAATTATGTATGTCGGAGTGTGGTCTAGTTCGACACTGGGGCTAATTTCTGTCAATCATTCGCAGTTGATTCTTCTCTTCGACTTGAGTTGTATTTCTTCACTTCGATCTGGTTGGGTCGAATTCTGTTCTCGGCTGGGCTTGATTTCAACTTCTTCTTCTTCTTCCGTCCAGTAACTCTTTGGCCTTGTCTTCGACTTGGCTGCAACTTCTCCGCGGCTTTCGAGTAATCTTCTTCTTCGTCGACTTAGATGGAACTTCTCTTGTCTTCGACTTGGGTTGGAAGGATTTCTTGTTTTCGACTTGGGCTGGAAGGATTTCTTGTCTTCGACTTGGGTGGAAGGATTTCTTGCCGCAACTCAGCCGCAACTCTCTGTCGTCCGAGGTGATCTCTTCTCGCTGCCGTCCGGGGCTGAACTCATTTTTGTCGATTGTGGTCCTGCTTTTATTGACGCCGCAGCAAATCGGGGTGGGTCTGTCGGCGTCAGGGCTCTCTCGATAATCCCAAAAGTCGCATTAGTTCTGATTTCCCATTATCGCTATTATTTTCACCCCTACTTCCTCACAGTGCCCTGGGGGAAGACGCATACCCATCTCTCCCGGTCTCTCGTATGTCAGGTGACCGTTTTCGACCAATGGTTCCTGATCGAACATTCCTCCTCCTCTTTCCGCATGCCACGTGACCGTTTTCGACCAATGGTTCTTGATCGAGCATTCTCCTCCTCTTTCCGCATATCACGTGACCGCTTTCGGCTAATGAGACTGTGGTGGGACGCCTCCCGTCTCCAATCGGGCGTGGCTTACATCGTTCTTGTTCTAAAAAAACAAAATCTAATTTGGCCTTTTTCGCACGTACGAAAAATGATAATCTTGGCTTTTTCTCACCTGGGTTCTGTCAAAACAGCCTGCCGCTAATTAGATGTGACTTCAGGAAAGAATATTGGCGCTATCTGTGAGCCGAGACAATCGTTTTTTTCACCTCTTTGTTTTTGGTCAGACCTGATAGTCAAAAATCTTAATTATCTGAATTGAAAATGTCTCCACTTCATCATCGTGGGGTTCCAATTTTTAACAGGTCAGAATCTGTATACAGTTCCACCGGTCACCCCCTCAACCCAAAAGACACCTTTCCTCCGATTAAAATTTCGTTTCCATTGTTCTAAAAAATTTCCCTTTCTCCAAATTGATAATGAGTCTTTCTACGCAAAAGTCGGTCATGTGCTTCGACCGATATTTTTTATTATCAATACACTCTTATCAAGCATGGTCCCTTCCACTCTAAATGACTTTCCCTTCTAAATATAACAAATCCCTATTGTCTTTCGAAATTCGGCCAACATGTTGGCCAAGATATCTTTCTGACACCTGTTTTCACTAATGACTGGGTCATGCATCATCCATCTCTCTTTCTTTTTTTTCTTTTTCTTCCTCTTTCTTTTCTTTATCTTTTAGGATCGTCTAAGTACAACTTAGTGAATTATTTTCAACTCAATTATTCTTCGTCTAAAAAAAAAAAACTAACAACCTGTTTAATAAACCGAGTAAAAAAAAAATTAAATCATATTTCTATGAATATTTCTAATAATGCAAGGTGCCACACATAGACCGAACATGTGAAAATTACGAAGTTTTAGAGCAAATGGAAACAAAAAGGACACATAATTTACATCAAGACAGTTGAAATTTCTAGAATTCCTAAGGAGGAAAGAAGGGTTAGAAAATTTAATACTCAGAGGATAGATTGAAGACAAGTACAAAGGAAAATAATGTATAAGTTGCTTAAAGAGCTTGAGTAAATGGATGATGTAGCAAGGTTTAGAGGAGAGATAACAAAAAGACAAAATTTATTAAGAGCTACAAAGGACAGGAAATTGTGGAGAGCCATGATTGCCAACGTTTTGAAGAGGCACGTCACAAAGAAGAAAAAGATTTCTGCTCTGTATTAAAAAAAAAAAGGATAGCTTTTGCACCCCCGATATTATGCAAATGTACATGTGGGAGAGTGAGTGTGTACTGACTCAGCTTATGTCTGACACTGGGGCAAGCTGTAAGGAGATCTTGTTAACTCACCATTGATTGACGACTGTCTGTTTTGGAGGCGGAATTGAAAAAAAAACGTTGTTTTGTCTTTCGTTAATTATTCACGATAAGGTGAACTGAATCCCAACCTAAATTCGAGTGAGTGAACGTGTCTCGATTAATCGATCGATTATTATCGATCGATTGATTTCCTTGCTGATCGACGGTAAACATAGAACAACAGAATCTTCCCTTACCTCCTAACAGCTTTCATGGCTCACAGAGTCCGCATGGCTCTTTTGTTAGCGAGACACAAGGCATGCTTTGTAAGTTCGTGTATATCCACCCTACCCCATTCATGATCAAATATTGCATATTTTACAAATACTGGAATGTACTAACTACTGGAGGATAGGGCGATTTTTTAACCCTCACTCCAAACTCGTGGGGCGGGGGGGGGCAATTTTTTCTGGTTTCGAACACCGACGAGAAACACAAGAAGAAAACGGCGGCAATATTGGTTACAAAGAAAGAAAGAAAGAAAGAAAGAAAGAAAGAAAGAAAGAAAGAAAGAAAGAAAGAATGGGACAAAAAAGAAAGAAAGTAATGGAGAGACAAGAAATAAATAAGTAACGAAAGAAAGATAAAAATGGAGAGAATCCAAAGAAAGAAAGAAAGAAAGAAAGAAAGAAAGAAAGAAAGAAAGAAAGAAAACAGAATGAGACAAAAAAGAAAGAAAAAATGGAGAGACAAGAAATAAATAAGTAAAGAAAGAAAGATAAAAAGGGACTGAAAAGAAAGAAATAAACAAACAAACAAAACACAAAAAAATAGAGACAGAGATTAAGAAAGAAAGAAAGAAAGAAAGAAAGAAAGAAAGAAAGAAAGAAAGAAAGAAAGAAAGAAAGAAAGAGAGAAAGAAAGTGAGAGGTTGAAAAACATAGAAAGAAAGAAAGAAAGAAAGAAAGAAAGAAAGAAAGAAAGAAAGAAAGAAAGAAAGAAAACTGTTTGGTATGTGTGGAGGAGAAGAGGAAGAGTAAAAAAATTTCATCCTCGCCCTTCTCGTAGCGTAAAGTAGGTGTGTATTTCTCACCGGTGCCAGAGGTCAAAGTTTAAGCTCAGGGTTTAAACCAGATTTTAAAATGTTGATTTAATTAATAAGTTGCATCTATGCACTTTGAAGATTGGCGAAATACAATCTTCCTACCCCAGCATTGCTTCATTTGCTATTGTTCAGTACTAAGTTAAATACATATAGAGAAATGGTATAAACGCCCACACAGAAATATTTGCATATTGAAAATGCTTCTGACGAAAGCGAGGAAGAAAGCGTTCAAGGGAGAGAACTCTACTCGTTGCACAAACACAATCTGCTGCATTTGAGAGAAAGGGAGAGTGGAGCAGAATGAAAGAAAGAAAGAAAGAAAGAAAGAAAGAAAGAAAGAAAGAAAGAAAGAAAGAAAGAAAGAAAGAAAGCGTGATGAAAAAGGAGAGAGAAAATAGAAAGAGTAAAATAGAAAAAGACAAAGAGAACGATAAAAAAGAAAGGTGAAAAAAAAAATCGAAATAAAGAAAGAAAAGGGAAAAAGGAGAAAAAGAGGGGAAGGCAAAAATAAAAGAGAAAAATATGACAAATTGAAAGAGAAAGTGAACGAAAATGAAAAAGATGGTAAGAGAGTGAAAGAGAGAGAGAAAAAAAGAGGGATATCGAGAAAGAGAGGAAGGGAGAGAGAAGGACAGTGAATAAATAGAGAGAAAGAGAAGTGAGAAAGCGGACGTCAAATTCGGCAATGATACGGTGATAAAAATAATTTAACATAGTTGTCTTGTTAATAGAAAGAGTGGGTATATTGATGATATTTAATAACTCTTCGACCAGTAGAAAACTGGGTAGGGCTGCTAAGAAGAGTGTGTCGCGCCAGACCTTTAATCTGGGAAAAAACTATTTGCATTGACAATGATCATAGCTAATTTCAGCTTTAACCTAGGTTCGAACACACATAGCTAGCGAAGTTAAGAACTATGCCAGTTTTCAACAAAGTACTCATGAAAGAGAATGATAAATGCCTGAAAAGATGTCAGTTCAAGAGATGTAGTCGTTTGAAGTTTAACAACGTTGCATGTCTATAAAGAGAGAAAAGGAAAGGCTGTTAAATGAAAACGTTTTCTTCAGAGTATTTTGCTATGTGCGGATGCAATATTAAGGAGAGAAAAATAAAAAGATTCAGACCATTGGTTATGGGCAATTTCCAGGGAATTTCGACTATATTAAAGAAGTCTTCTAGAAAAGTAGTCGACTTGGAACTATGTTGGCAATAAGGGAGGGAATTATTTAAATTATTGATCCCAGAAATTGGAATATTCGATCGAGAAGAAAAGTAATATAAGACTATAAAACACGTTGTTTATTTATTTGTTTGTGTCTTTCTTTCTTTCTTTTTCCTAATGCTTTTACTTTTTTTCTTTTATTCATTTTTTCTCACTTTCCTTTACGTATTTTATCTTCTTTTCTTTCTTTCATTCTTTCTTTCTTTCTTTCTTTATCTTAATGTTTTTCTTTTATTCATTCTTTTCTTATTTTCTCTTACCTATTTTTCTCTTCCTTTCTTTCTTTCTTCCTTTCTTTCTTTCTTTCTTTCTTTCTTTTTCATTCTTTCTTTCATTTTCCTAATGCTTTTTCTTTTTCCTTTTATTCATTCTTTTCTTACTTTCTCTTACTTTTTTTCTCGTCCTTTCTTTTTTACATTCTTTCTTTCATTTTTTTCTTTTACTTAATGTTTTTCTGCCACTTTTCTATTTATTGATTTTCTTTCTTCCATTCTTTCTCTCCTTTAGTTGTTCTTTTTTTTTAATGATTAATTCTTTTTTCTCTTATTTTATATCGTTTAACCATTTTTTGTCTCTTAATTTTTCTCTCTTTCTTTTAAATTTTGTTCGTTTTTCTTTTATTCAACCATTTTCACTTTCTCCTATTCTTTCTCCCTTTCTTTTTTCCTCCCTTTCTTTCTTTCTTTCTTTCTTTCTTTCTTTCTTTCTTTCTTTCTTTTTTTCTTTTTTTTCGCCTCAATTCCCGTTGATGCATTCAGGTATCAAATATACGCGCACAAAGCCAAACTTTGACTCCCATTTTTTCTCCCCACACAATTCCTCGATCTGCTTTTCTACAATAATAATAACTATTGAACCAAAAAGATCACATTATTTTATTTAGTCATACACAAACACACACGCACGCACACATTTGAGACTAATAAACCTGGTTAACGTTTTACATCTAAATCGAGAACCTGACGCACTCATCGACGAACAGACGTAGATATAAAGATATTTATGCATTCATGAGGATATAAGACATCTACAGTATTTTTAGGTTGAGCTTCGTGTGGCACAAGGCCCTTACTCCATAAGTATTTTTCTTATAAATCAGCCAATGTTTGTGAAAGTATGTTAAAAAATACAATGTATTTACTACATAAAAAATTATATATATATGTATGCAGCCATCTGCGTAGTTACACCATTAAATCTGTGCCCCTATGATGGAAAAGGCATTTTCTTTATGCAACAAACATTTAATTTTGAACATAATCTCCTTCTTTGTGAATGCACTTAAATCAGTTGCGATTATTAAACAAATAGATTGAACATTATACAGTAAAAGCTTGAGATCAAATTCTGTTAATACTTTACTTTCAGTCTATATTTTTAGTGATACAACCACGTATACAAACACATGTACATATATACGTGTGTGTTATATATGCTTAAATAATATTACATTTAAATGTCTACGTAAATATGTATATAGACACGGCAGTAAGGGAGTGTGTATATTAAATAACTCATTCGTGAATCAGGAAAGAAAAAAAAACGGAAATTTTTAAGACAAATACAAGTATGTAAAATCTTAAAAAAGACATCAGTAGCGGAAACCAAGAAATATTACACACCTGTAAAAAGTAGTTTTTATATTGCAACACGATCGATATTGGTTATTAAAACTATTTTTAGAGTTTTGCCTTTAAATGATTAAAGTCGGCAAGAAACATTCAAAGAAAAGAACGTGTAGTAATGGTTTTATAGCAGACGATTGTTGAACATTTCTATCATTGCTAGCGTAGTAGGTGCTACTTTATATATGTAGATTATAATCAACATGTTCAAATTCCCTGACATTTTGGGTAGCACTTTTGGTTACATCCCCAACTTGAGACAAAACCTAGTTTTAGAGAACTTTACTGCTGTAGTGAGGTCTTTCTCTCCTTGTGTCATTGTATCACACAAAACTGATAAAATGTTTTGACGGCATTTTGTGTCAGGGAATATCATCGCACTTTCTTCTTTCCTTTCATTTTTTGAACGCCAATCGCCTATACGGCAAGCAACCCGAAATTTTCTTAATATTCATAAAAAATAAAGCAAATGAAATTGTAACATAAGTTGATTCCCATCTATACTTAAATGTCAGAATTTTGAAGGCTCATTTTCAAATTTAGTTGGCCCAATTTATTTGAAAGATAGAATTCAGTCTCCTACCAGACACTAACGTAGGTTTGCTATCTATCTATCTATCTATATATATATATATATATATATATATATATATATATATATATATATATATATATATGATTTAAAACAATTTAATAGGAGTAGATAGTTTTACCTTTTGTCCAGTTCATACTCCTCCCTGGTCTTTTAAACAGAAATAGAGATTTATCACTTGTTTCCTGTTTAGGATTGAATTTCCGGTTCCTTTTAAAGTTTACTTCAACTCCATACTTCTAACGTCTCCGCCTGAACCCTGAAAATTAATTATTTATTTATTTTCCTCCTCAATAGTAGTAGATAGGTCCGTCTATCGTCCGGTTTATACTCCACCTCTGACTTTTGAACAGGAGTAGATGTTCATCCCTTATTTCTTATTTAGGATTAGGTTTCTCGCTCCTAAAGCATTCACATTCTCTTTCACTCTCAGTAGGCCAATGCGTCTTAGTGTCATTAACGCCTTGTTTGAGGTGACTTGATTAAAAACAACCCTAGAATTTTCATTGACTATTCATCCTATTTCACCAGCCATTTTTGTTTGAACCGGGCTCCTGTTTGATGCAGATATGTATTTTCCCGCGTTTCCTGTCGTCGGTGTTTCATACTAGACTAAAACGTGAATTTGAATGCTGATTTTTTTAGATGAAATGTTAACTTAGAAGTTTTTGCTCATTATTGCATATATGTAAGTCCTCTAGACTCCCCTATAAAATATAGGGGTGCCGCCTCAATACGTTCAACTGGAGCAAGTAGGTTTTACGGGACGGGATTGCTAACCCCACCTCAAACTAGTTTCCTTGACTGGTTATCAACCAAGGCTACAAAAACAAGCCTGTTCTGCTGGGGTTGGGAGGTGTAAAGAAGTGATAGGTTCATGCCTTTCCGATTATTTCTGTGAAAGTAAATGCATCGGCATCGGTTAGAATTTGAACGCAGCACACCAGTCTTACTTTTCGCGCCAATAACCTTATAGGTGGATGTGCACAAAGCGCATATCCACTTAGAAGATTCAGATGGGTAAATTTTCCTAATTCCTACCCCCGCACAACTTAACCTACCGTATTAAGTTAATAATATATATATATATATATATATATATATATATATATATATATATATATATATATATATATATATATATATATATATATATCATTCGCAGATAGTACTGTTTAGCTGTATCATAGCTCCTCAGTGCCACTAGACAACTGGGAATGCCCCAAGCCCGGATCGAAACCCAGTCAGAGCTTCAATCACTGAGCCATTTTCACTCGACAGAATGAGTCAGCCAAATCTAGCGTATTGTTTTTTACAAACGTAAACAAACGCCAATAGTGCTCCATTCATTTTAACGAATATATATATATATATATATATATATATATATATATATATGATATATATATGAATAGATATAAAATTAGTTTTATATATTACCACTCATGATGATAATAAATGATAAAAAATGAAAAATGGCTAAATCAAGGTAAATAGAGTAAATTA